ACCACAAGATATCCTGACATAAAAGTACTTACCATAGTGTCTCTTTCCTTGAAATCTTTGAGTATGACTTCATATACTGTAGCACCAAGCATATCCAGACAATGTAAAACCATTCAAGAGAATGAAATTATTACAGAGTATTTAGAACCAACTAACAGGAAATAAACAATGGTTTCTGTATCTCCTTGTCTATAAAAGTTTTTGCTTATCACATATAATAAAATCCAAAATAAGATACAACCTGTTAAGACCGATGGAGACAGAAGAATAAAAGCTTGATGGGACTTCAAAACAAGATGATACTAAATCAGCACTAGCTATTATGATGTCTTGTTTTCTCCAAAATAGCTGTTCCTACCATCCAACCTTCTCTGCCTCATTTCTGTTGAGCTCTTTTTCTGTCGTTTGTTGTCAGTTTGTCTTCTTCATTTCTCTTTCTGTTCCATTCATTGTGTCCTCTCTGCCACTATTTCTGGAATCTTGGTATTTTCCTTTTTTAGACTATCCTGCAGTATTCTCTGTAGAGTTGAATTGGTGGTTGCAAATTCCCCTAGTTCCTTTTATCCTGGAAGCACCTTGTTTTTCCATCAATTTCCAGGGAGAGTTGTGCAGGATATATCAATCTTGGCTGGAGGCTATTATCTTTCAAAGCTTGAATTATTTCCCCCCACGCTCTTCATGATTTGATGGTTTGTGCCGAGAAGTCTGCTGTAATTCTGATGGGTGTTCCCTTATAAGTGATCTGTTTCTTGTCTCTGACGGCTTTTAATATTCCGTTCTTATATTGGATTTCTGGAATTTTGATTATTATATGCCTGGGTGTAGCTCTGTCTGGGTTGTAGGTGGCTGGGGTCCTGTATGCCTCATACATCTGCGTATCTTTACCTTTTGCCAAATTAGGGAAATTCTCTTGGATTATTCTGTGAATAGCTTTTGTAGTCCATTTGTTTGTGTCCCTACTTCTTCTTTTATGTTCTTAATTCTTAAGTTATAGATCCTATCATCTTCTAGCCTTTGTATTATTGCTGTTTTCTTATTTTTAAGAAGTTTTTCATTTCATGCTCTCACCTTACAAATCTGCCCTCCAGTTCAGATAATCTATCCTTAGTTTCCTTTCAAGCTGTTATGCCAGCTTTCAATAGAGTTTTTAATGTCCTGGTAATTTCTATGAACCTGCTTCACATATTCTATGTTTTCTCTATTTTCTCCATCAAACAATTCTCCCCTTTTTTTCTGTTCTTCCATTCCACCATCTGTTTTTTCTGGGGGGTTCTTAGCATTTCTCTAACTATTCTACTTATATCTTGCTTTTGGTCATTAATAACTTCATTTTTTGAACTGGTCTATGAGGCTCTGGAGATATCGCTTTATGTCTATTGGTGCCGTGTCTGATATTGCATGTTTCTCAGGATTGAGGGCGGAGGACCCTTTCTTGTTGCTCCCTCTTCCCATATTTTTTGTTCTTTCCATACAAGCGTATATAGGAGGCCCAGTTTCTTTCTTTGTCGGTTACAGTTTGAATTGTGCCAGCTAGGTGTTCCCGCCCACTGCAGTGTACTAGGGAGACACAGACCTGGGCAGCCTATGCTTGGCCTGCCCCTCTAGGTCAGCCTACCAAAGGCTTCACTGCTAGAGTGCACCTCCAGGCACTGGGACCCGGTTTGGGCTAGCCTACTGGGTCTTAAGTCAGTGGCGACACCCAGGCCAGGCACTCCCCACCAATCCTGCTTGAGAGGGGAATATGTGACTGAAGTCACTGCAACAACCTGTTCCGGCTAGTCTGCCCAGTCCCAGTATGTCCTTTGCGGAAGCCTCCTACTCTAATGGAAGGGTCCCTGATTCGCTCACTCACTGCAGGTCGATGCAGGGCTCCCGGCCAGTCCCGCTCTCAACTGCATTCGCCACTTCCCACTCTCAGAGCTTTCACACCTCTTTCCTTGCCGTGCCAACACAGCAGCAGCTGCAGGAAATTCAAATCTTGGCTTCCAGTGGCACAGGCTCCAGCTTCCGCGCTGAGACCTTATCTGTTCCTGTTGTAGCACCGGGATTGCGTTTCCAGTTGGTTTCTCTTAGTTTAGTTCATTCCTGGGTCGGCAGGGTGTATCTCCCCTTGCTTAGGACTTCTCACCCTGCACCATTCCTGGATTTTAAGTGGGGTATCTCAGAGAGCCTCCATAGCTGCTGCTATCTATCCACCATATTCTTCCGGAAGTCCCAATACAAGCTTTTATGTTGGTGCAGGAGGCATGCATAACAGCTGGCAGAACAGCACTGCTCATCATTAACTTTACAATGAAAATTAGAGCTATCTTTCATGTCAGCAGATGTGTATTTTTAAGCACATTTTACCCCAGAATTAGGGGTAAAATAACCATAGTAGAAATACAGGCCCTGGAAGGAAGTCCAGGTGGGAAATGGCCCTCGCCCCTTCCTGAATGGAGCTTGCACATGTTCATGGCATGTAATAGAGCACAGGGTCACCTCAGCAGCATGGGTATTTCCTTAGCCTTATGACCATTTGCTAGGATTCAAAACGCTTTAGAAAATAAATTTCTGGCCAAAGTTTAATGGGGGGAGGGGTGGTGGTAATAATAACTATATATTCTACAGCGGTCCTTATTTCAGATATTTTATTTCACTGTTCCTGTGGACTAAGTGTGAGACTCCTGAGATTCTTGGTGAAAAAACAAAAAAGTAATTGAAAAAGCTGCTTACCAGTAAGAAAGATGAGACGTTTAAGCTCTTTTGTCACAGCACCTTGTCTTATTTTCATCAGAGCCTTTATTGTGAGCGGTGGCTGGTCCTCCGGCCCCCTCTACTACACTAGGCTGTGAGCGCCATGAGGGCGAGAGCCCAGCTGCCTTGTCCTTTCTGCGCACTTCTGATCACCTCTGGTACACAGAAGCTCCCCACAAGATAGTGGCTGAGCCCACCCAGGTGACAAGAGCAATGGCAGGTAGGAGCAGGCTGCTTATGTGTCTAGAGGAACCGGACTCCTACACGGGGATGAGCACACCCTTCCAGGTCACTGGGGCAGTTTCATTTACTCATTTAACAAATATTTATTGTGGGTTCCTTGCAGCACTATAGCAATGAACGTACTGGCTTTGATCCTTCTCTCATTAAGCTTCTAATCTCACAGGATGACAGCCTTATTTTTTAACATCATCAACACACTGTCTAGTTACACACCATGGCAAGTGTGATGAAGGAAAAACAGAGAGTATTACAAACAGTTATAAAAAAGAGTACCACGTGATGGCCACAAGACTCTGTGAATGTATAAAACTGGAATGCTTTGAAAGATGAAATTTCAAGATAGGCATATTTATATCTCAAGACAGCTATTATTGAAAGAGAATATGATGGGGCTGAGGATTTAGCTCAGCGGCATAAGCACCTGCCTTGCAAGCAGGTGGTCGTGAGTTCGATCCCCGGTACCGATAAAAATGAAAAAGACAAAAAAAAAAAAAAAAAAAAAAAAAAAAGAAAGAGAATATGACAATGGATTAAGAATACAGTTTTGGATCTCTGCATTTCTGGATTCATAATCCCAGATTGGATATTTACTAGCTGCATTCTCTTGGACAACTTATTTAATACCTTACAAGTACTTTAGTCTCTTCACCAATAAAAATAATAATGCCTCTTGGTAGGACTGTTCTGAAGATTAAACAAGCAATGGCAATGGTACCTGGTCTTAAAAGAAGTGAGCTATTATTTACTTTGGAGAAGTCAAGAGGTTTATGTACCCAATATATCTCCTTAAAAGTCATGTTGAAATCTTAAACCCTGATGTGGTGGTATTAGGAGGTAAGGCCTTTAGGAGGTAATTAGGTTATGAGGGTGTAATTCTCACGTGTGAGATCAGTGTCCTTATAAAAAGACAAAAGATTCTCTGTCTCTCTTCTTTACTCCCTTTTCCCCTCTCCCCGTCTTTCCCAGATAGAAGAATAAGGTTTTCACAAATAAGGAAGAACACCCTCATCAGATACGAGATCTGCCAGCACCTTGATCATAGACTGGAGCTGCCAGAGCTATGGGAAACTGTGACACCCCATCTGTGGTATTCTGTGAGAGCAGCTCAACTAACACTCACTGAGACAGGGAGCAACAGTCAAGATGACAGAACACAAAACAGGCAAAGTCAGAAATGTCTTGAGCTCTATTTCTGGCCATTTGGAACGCCAGGGGACTCTGTTTAACAATTTCAAGGTATTATGTTTTGGTTAATTTTGCTCTTGAAACAAAACTGCCATGAACATATTGGATCAATAAGAACATGTAACTGTAGAAACATACCTATATACGTATATCATTATGCTTTCTACTATAGAACACAATGTAAATATCCTACCTTCATTCTTTACACATTTTAAGGTGTTTTTATGGCTCAGATCTCAAATATACCCCAAAGTCTCACATATTTGGAAGATGATTAGATCATGGGGGCACTGTGTTCATCAGTGCATTAGTCCATTGTGAGGTCAGAGCAGAATGTGCTATTTGGAAGTGGTTCCTAGGTGAAAGCGGTGGGTTACTGTGGGTGTGACCTGAAAGGATGCATCCATGTTCTTGGTTCCTTTCCTTCTCTCTGCTTCCTGGCTGCCAGGATGTGAGCAGCTGCCAGCCCTTCCACCCTGCTGTTTATGACTCCAAAGCTGGCTAACCATGGATTGAACCGACTGAAGCTGTGAGCCAAATAAACTTGTTCTCCTTTATCTTGCAGGGGACAAATATTTTGCCCCAGAGACAGGAAAGCTGATAGAGTTTTATATATAGATATAAGCCATTTGCAATGAAGCTCACCTTTTAAAAGTGTACAAGTCAGTGGTATTTAGCATATTCCTAAAGTTGTACAACCACCACCACTATACAATTCTAGAACAATTTATCATCCCCAAAAGAAACTTCCCATCCAGTACGAGGCACTCCTCGTCTCCCCACCTCCAAGGCCCCGAGACTCACTACTTGGTCACCATGGGTTTCTCAGTTCCTACCTTTGCTCTTGAAATCATATGTGGAAGTGAGCTATGCTGTTTTGGGAGTCGCCGAAGTTTATGCTCAGATTCCAGGGGAAAAACAAATAACTTCTGGTCAATTACAGTTGGAAACAACCTAAAGTAAAATGATATAGAATTTAACATCAAATTTGCTGTCTTCAAAGCTCCTCAAATTATAATGTTAGAAAGTTGCTCCTTAGTTGTTATTACATTTTATAGGAAACATACTATTGGTGGTTATAATAAATTAGACTAAATTTTTAGCATTTTTACCACTGTAAAACTGTAGTTGTTTTATTAGGTATAAGAACTTCTAAGTCTGATAATGATCATTATAGCATGAATAAAAAACACTATCACTGGCTGAGGTTATAACTAAAATTGACAGAATCATTACACTATAAAGCATTTCTTGGTAGAGAAGAATACATAATTTGTATTTCATTTAGTAAAATCAAATTACATGATAGCCAATTTAAAAGTATTCAAAATGGTAGTTTCTTCAGAATTTATCACTTACATTATTTAAATCTCTGCTATTTTATATAATTGCAAAGATTTAAATTTTAAAGTTGGCTAAAGGCTTTCATTATTAAGAACAGAGAAATCCATGGGAAAGCAATGTAAAAACGAAGTAAAACCGTAAGAATGGATATGTGCATGTCAGATTATATCTTAAAGTTTTAACTTTAAAAACAAATTCGACTTTAATGTCATCAACATAATTAAGGTGAACAAAATTCAATCAGCAATATAACTCAAGTGTCCTGATTCTACTGTGATGCCCCCTTCTGTCAAATCATCATTAAAACAATTTATAGACTTCTAGTTTTAAACCAACATGTAAAGAGCTTGAATTCCTATCTTTATAGCAAGAAAAAGGCAAAATAAACCAAAAAATGACAAATCAAGGTCACAGGGCAAAATACTGCTCTGAAAACTGCAGAGACAGAGATTCAAAGAATCACAACTGCAGCGAGCAGAAGCCTGCGGAGGAGTCCCACTTTCTCATCCATAGGCTGCAGCAGGCTCAGCAGAGGCTCTTTGGGAGTTCAGGGCTCTGAGCAGCTGAGTCCTGGGTGGAAGTCCCACCATGAAAGCCCCACCTTGTCTCACCGTGAGAATCAGAAAAATCCTCTCTCCTGCACTCAGCAGGGGGAGGGGAAGTAGCTAGTTTGAAATACCCAGAGATCTCTGTTCTTTGTTGTGGTCTCCTGGTTTTCAAGGAGAAGTATTCTACTAAGCCTAACCTGGCCTGGCGAAGGGTGGCTGGCCAACTCCAGCCCCCTCTGGCCTTCCTGTCTCAACTAAAATGAAGGGGCAGGGAAAACTGAGAAAACTGAGGAAGGAAACAGCCCAGGGACACGGACCCACTGAAGCCAGCATTTATATACTGCATGGGACAATCCTGAATAGACTGCACCTAAGGTACTTTAATAATTAAATGACTCTGTACTGTACCTCCTAATCTACTCTCCACAATTAACGAAACCTCTCTTCCTCTCACTGTTTCTTACCATTGTTTATTTGCTTTGCTACACACACACACACACACACACACACACACACACACACACGCACGCACACGCACGCACACGCACAGCACAGAATACAAAGCGAAGATTGCTACACAGCTCTGATAGTGCTGGTACAGATGGCAGTCAGCCTCCTAGCGTCAATAAGCCGGGGCATGGTCATTAAGAACAGTGTGAGCAGATATCACAAGCAATACAATCTGCGAAAGCCAGCAAGGACAAGGGGAAGAGCCACATTCTGACACAGAAGAGGAGCCATTGCCAAAGAGGGATAACAGTGATGCTTATTTTGAAAACAGAACAAAGCACTTTTAGCTGCTTGGAAAAAGTATGCTACTTCGGGTAATAATCAGTGGGTTTTGGAGTGACTGCTAGAAAAATCTTGCATTTGCCCAGCAACTGTTACTGTCACTTTATGTTCCTACTGGTTTTTATCTCTGCCCATCAAACTACCAGATTTTCCTTTGAGCAATACTTGCCAGAAGGAAACCATCTTTTGTGAAGAGTAGGCTTCCTGGTTTTCAGGCAGTGGCGGAGTAAGGGCAGGGTACCAGATTGCAGATATTTGCTTTGGACTTGAGTCTGGGTCTCACCATTGACTACCTGTGTGATCTGCAACTGACGTACTTAGACTTTAGTTTCCTCATTAGGTAGCTACTGACCTCACAGCTTTCCAAAAAAAGTCTTTTGCCAGCTGATGTTATCAAAATATTGATAGCAGTGCTGCTGCAAGCAATGATTACACATGGTTCTGAATCACTCCGTAGGTGTACCTGGGGATAATGGTCACTTGGAATGAACTCTTCTGACGTCTTTGGAATCCACAGGTAGAGGGAAGCCTCCTACATCTGAACTCTCTGCTGCCAGAGGAGCAACAGAAATCTAGTCCTTACCACAATGCCTCCCTTTCCGAAGGAGTTGCTCCCCTAGGATAGCAGATATTGACAATTCCTTCCGCCCTGACTGCCAACTTCCAGTCCTGGTTCAATCCCAATGCTAAAAGCTTTCTCTAACCTGACATAGCAATAGGGTGGCAGAATTCCCCTCATCTGTATAGAAGCAGTCCATTTACATGGCCAACAGAATACTGATTACAGTCATGAACAGCTCAGGCACTAATCATTTAATCAGTAGAGACTGGCACGATTTTTCTAAGTTGCTCAAGTCAAGAGGATACTGTTGAAATTTGAGTTAGACTTATTCAAGAATTTAAAACTGTTAAAGATAACTGGCAAACGTCAATATACTATCTTTCATTAGCATGACAGGACATATGCTGAATCTAGAATGTGATCTTGTGTGATTTATTCAATCTTAGGTTGTAGTTGTTTTTACGTACTTATTTTTCTTTTTGTAGTACCTGGGATGGAACCCAGGACCTCCACCCTGAGGTCAATTTTCAGCCCTTTTTACTTTTCATTTCAAGACAGGGTCTTGTTAAGTTGCCCAGACTGGGTTTAAACTTGGGATCCTCCTGCTTCAGCCTTCTAGAGTGCTGGCATTTCATGTGTGCACCACCATACCCAACAAGAATAAGGGATTTTTTTTTTTTTTTTTTTTTTAGGTAAATTAGAAGGGAAGGCTGTGAAGATCTTCAGGCCTATTCAGGATCAGGTGTCAGGAAGCTTACTAACTCTGTGATGGTGCATCTTTTAGAGCTTTCAATGACAACAAACAGCCCACGTGCCATAGGTTCACCCCCACTATTCTAATGGGTTTAAGTCAGGATGCTAACATAAAGAGAGGGAGAATGGGTTGACAGATTCATCGTATATCCAGAAGCTGGTGAGCTGAGGTTTCAGGTACTATAAAGACAAAGAACTAACGAAGACAAATAACACTCCTCTATCATGATGTCCACATCATTTGGACACTCTCAACTTCTCTAGATTCCCAGCTGAAATTTGGCCTGCTACAGTGACTTCCTCCTGTTCTCAAGCAAGAAAGCACAGTTTTCTTACTCATAATCTTTCCAAGATTGAAAGGTACATAGTCACGCGCAGTCCGTTCCTATCTCTACACCTTGAGTGTCATCCTTTAACTTTGACCAGTGCAAGGAGGATTTCAATTAGGAAAGGGACCCTGAGATGTGGGAGAATAACTCTAAGATTTTAATCAAGTCCTTTAACCTCTATGGCTTCATTTTGCACATTTATAAAATGTGGATAATACCTATGAGGCCTATGAAATAGTTATTTCAAGGATCGAATGAGACAATATAAATATATGTGCTTTATGTATTATCCAGAGAAAGAATAAAGTATTAGCACCAGGAGCAAACATTTATCCAGGTCCTGCTGTGTGCCAGTTGTTATGGGGAACCAAAACAACTAAGACCCCTCAGCTGTGATCACTGCCCTCCAGAGCAATGAGAAAGTCACTACCAGCATAAGATAGTTAAGGGTCTACGCTAAGTAAGTTGCATGGCCAACCTTTCTCTGGTTTCCCTATTTTTTCCTGGCCTCTTCGCTGTTAATGCTATGAGAATTCAAATATAGTTTGATGAGGCAAGGGGAAGCTTGGCAGAGAAGCTGGTGGGAGCTGGATCATGGAGATACACACAGGAGCCCAGTGGCAAGTGGTCCCCAGTGATGCCACCCCCTGTGTTTATTCCCTTGTGTAATGCCTCCCCTGTGAGTGTGGGGTAAACCTACTGACTAACTTCTAACCAACAGAACCGAGTAGAAGTGATAGTACAGGTTATAGAAGAGAGGGCTTCATCTCGGGGTCGCTAGCTGCCATGCTGTGGGAACACTGAGACACCCTAGGAAAGGCCCAAGTCCTGTTGGCAACCACATGCCTTGAGCTTGGAAGCAGATCTCTTCCCACCCCTCAGTGCCCACCTTCCCAGCCCTATCAACTCTTCAGCCCTGGGAGAGACCTTGAGCCCCAGATTTAGCTAAGTGTGCTCAGATTCCTGAGGACAGAGGCCGTGAAATAAGCAGGGTTTGTTTTGTTATTCTAAGCCACTGTGTTTTGGGTAATTTGATAGAGAGCCACAGATAACTAGTATCAGGGTCCTCTAGGCAGTAGGGAATGTAACTGATGAATGCAGAGAAGCCTGAGAGAAGTTTAGGGCTGTAAGGGGGCCCCTGGAGAAGTAGGGAGGCCAGGGAAGGGCTGCCTCTCCCTGTGCCCCTGTGGCGCTGCCTTTGTTAGGTGGAAGGGGACGGGTGTGGTCTTCATCCAGAGCCCCGCTGCTGGCCACTGAGGGCTGGCCCTGGGCTGTGTCTACAGCTTTCCTCACTTCCTGGCACTAGTTCTAGAACTTGACCTTGCTGGTCCACACCACTCACTAGTGCTAGATACATACGTAAAACACGAATAAGATCCACAGGGTTTTTGCAAGTTTAGAACAAAAGTGTAACCTAGTTTCATCTGCTGGGAGACCTTCTTGAAGGTCTAAGTTGAGGCAGACCGTTTTTCTTAAACTCAATTCTAACACCAATTCTAACACCAATTCTTAGCACATGATTACATACTGAAAGTTTCTAACAAGTTTACCGGGATAACAAAATCATCTTTACAAGGAGGCACCCATGACCTTCTAAAAGCAATGTAAGTAGGGTAACAAGTGATTTAAATGTTCCCTTGTTACTAAAAATAACAAAACTAAAGACAACACCAAAACCTGGACCCTGAGAAAACTGCCACAATAAGCAGCATTAGAACTCAATAGAAGTAACCTACAATTAAAACCTATTAATTTCTGTGCAATACTTTACAGAAATTAGTTGAATGGATATAAACAAAATTTGGAAAATTTTATATGTATAATTATCTCACAGAGAGACAAAAGTTATTTCACTTTATTTTATTTGGGCTCTACAATGGCTATTTTACTCACCATTTTGAAGCTATAGGAGAATGTAAGTTCTCATCAACAGAAGTCATTAACACACGATGGTTTACATCATCTAAATATTTCCGAATGTGAATCTGTTACAGAAAAGTCAATGCTTATGTCATTCTAGTGGATTCATTCATTTCATTAGGTTAGCGCTCCAAATTTTGTGTAATTATGACAACAAAAACACATCATACTATGTGTTCTTGCATGCTTGAGGTATCATTAAGCATTCGAAAGCCAAATTACTTCAACTCTCCCAAAAAGAATAATAAACAACTGAGACCCAAAGCTTAACTGAACCCCTTTGCAAATGAAACTGTGTACAATTGTCAGAAATTGCTTAGCCAGGTAAACCTGCAAGGCATTACAGATAAGGAATAATGTCTTTCTCTTGCAGGGGCTTCCAGCAAGCAACTGAGAAAAGCATCTGGCCTTTAGGTAGCAGATTATTCAAAACTGCCAAGCCAAAGGCTCCAGCTGAGCCCAGCCCTCTCGCTGTCAGGTAATCTAGGACAATGATGTGCCAGTCCAATGAAGCGCAAGGAAACACCACCATTTCCCACAGCCGTGGGAGCTAGTGGTGAACCGGTTACATAGGAGAGCAAAGGTCTAAGGCACTAAAAATCACAGGTCTAAAGACGGACCTTATTTGGAAGATGGGCCCTTATGAGCTAATACAGCCAGTTTCATAAATGAATAGTGTCCTGGTCTAAAGATTGGCTTTTCCTCTCCTCTTAGGACTGTTAATAATGTGACATCTCTAACTACTTTATTTCTCTGTCTCAAAATTGGTACATTTCTTTAGTTTTACCTAAGTGATTACAAATATTACAAAAATGAAAAGCTCAAAATACTTATGCTAGTGGGGGAAAAATCATCTTATTTTCTAGAATACTGGTAAATTCCAGAAAACCTGCACTGCATTGGTAAGAATCCTTTTTTGTTCAGGCAAACAAGGTCTGATTTTAAAAATATGGCATGTTGGGCTGGGGATTTAGCTCAGCAGCATAAGAACCTGCCTTGCAAGCAGGTGGTCGTGAGTTCGATCCCTGGTACTGATAAAAAAAAAAATATATATGGCATGTGTTTAAATTTTAACATTTATTACAAAGAGACATTGCTGTTAACTTTCCCTCACTTGGAGCACACTTCTCTGCCACTTTCCAAAGCAGCTCCAGAAGTCCTCTTTCATGTCATTATAAGGGGAGATAAAAAAAAAAATACAGTGAATGCTCCTGCTGAGCTCCATCCAACAGAAGGGCAGGCTCATAAGAAGATTACAGTGTGTCCACATCTGCCCTGTTCCCCGGTTCTTATTCACTTCACCCAGTACTGTGCGATTTCTAGCTCTTCCCCAAAGTCAAAATGGCCAGAAAAGATAAATTTTTTGACTGGACTCGGGGCGCTAAGGCAGTTGTGACGGTGCCACTAGAGACACTCACTAAAGAGCACTTGCAGAACTGCTTCAGAAAGTGGCAAGAAGGATGAGATGAGTGTGTCTGAACTGAGGAGGACAAATGCTAGGGTGTCTTTTACTGTAACATACTTTTTAAAAAAATGTAAACATTCACCGTATCCTTTGATCACACTGCCTACTGCTGGATTAATAGTGATTATTTTTCAAGCTCAAGTTATTTTATCAAACCAATTTTAGGACTTGCTGCTGTAGAATCTTGTATTTCGCCTTTTTAAATTCTTTGTGGAATATAACATAATGTAAATCAATTAGGTAGTAATCATCATTTAGAAAATTAAGAAAACATGAATGCTCATGGCCATCCCAAATCCCATGGTTACAGAATCCTATGACAACCACAAATCTTTTCTTCTAGAGGCTTGTCTCCTTCCGGGATTTATTCAATAGCTGAAGCCTACTTACTCTTAACCCCATTTCTGTCCTTCGAATTGCTGTTTCAAGATGCTGAATATCTAGTGTCTTTCCTTTTTCCTCACATGGAAATTTCATTAATTTCTTCTTCAATTCATAAAGGTCTTCTTGGACCTATGCAAAAATATGAAGTGTTGAAAGAATACATCTAGTTCTACCTATAGTTATTTATCTTACAGTTATTTATCTTACAGGTCGGCAGTGGGCTTAAAATGTGAGAGCCATAAGTTGATTTTATAGTATCCTTTTGAGGACATCCTTTACCCAGACCATGCCAGCATTCAGTCTCAGGTTGTGAAGAACAAAGCTTTCTTACAATTTCTATTTTTCCTTCTCCCATTAGGAATAGATGTAAAGCTTCAACTCAAATGGGTTATGCTCTCTCACGTAGTAAAACAGTTAAACCAGAGATGATGCTCATGCCAGACTCCAATTTCTACGAATTGGTTGAAGAAAGAAAACAAGAAGCTTCCAGGAAAGCCAGGACCTAGCAGAAGGGGTACCTTTCATAAGAGTATGGTAAATTGTGTTGGCAGTGCCTGTTGGTTTTCTGTCTTAGCTGGCTCTTCCTCTCTCACTGCTCTGAATAAGCAGATATGTAGGTGTTGTGGATTTGGTTTTTATGCAGTGGAAAATGAAAACAATCCATGCAAAAAAAAAACCATGTTATTACTTTCACATTTTCTCCTAGTGTGTATTTTTCTTAGAAATGACAAACATCTCTCCAATGTCAGACATCCTCAGAATCAAATGGGCACTATGAAATTAGGAAGCACAAGATTTTCTGTCACCATACTAGAAACCAAACTTCAGATAAATACAGATGGCACCAATTATTGTATGGGCTGCTGCCACAGGAAATGCTTTTTGTTATGCAAATTTATGAACCTAACACCTGTTTCACGAATAGTCACACCAATAACAATCTGCAGACTGGGTTGCTCAAGGCATTTTTGAAATGGTTACCTTTTCTCTGTGAGGATACTGGACCACCTTCATCCAGCCCGCCTTACAGATTGCTCAGGAACGCTCCCACAGATTCAAAATATCAGAATTTGCGTTTTCTCGGTGATGGGCACTGCAGCCTGGCAGACACATTCAATCATTGTACTCTGTACACAAATTGTCACATGAAGCCTTTGGGCCCCACAGATTGGGGTCTGAACACATCTACTGCTTGCTGGTAGGTACTAAGTGAAGATGTACTTCTCTCTGTTGTTTTGTCCAAATGACTACTGCAAGCCAATGTAACAATTGCTTGAAAACATCTGGAAATACAAAGAGGCAGTTCCAGGGCAACATCCTTCTTAGGTACTCATGTGTGGGTTTCCCCTTTCAGTGTGATGACTTTCTCCCATCTAGTATCTGTAGCACTGCACATCTTTCTGGAATTCTGTCTCTCCATTGCTGGAAGGGATGAAACTAGATTACTCTTCAGAATTCTCAAGGTTTGGTTGGTGGGTTGCTTTTTTATCTGCTCTGTGTGGACAACAATATTTCATCAATTCTCAGATAATATAACAGGCCCTGTACACAGTGAGAACTCAATAAAAGGCAGCTGAATATAATTGCTAGCTCTAACATTTACTAGTCACATGACTCCCCATCTATGTTGCCTGTAATTTGTCAAGGAAAAAAATTAATAGCCCTATTCCATAGAATGGTGGGATGCCAATGAGGTAATATGTATGAAAATGATTCAACATAGGCTCCAGAGCCAGCTGCATATGAACTGGGCTCCTGCTTCTTCTCTTTTTTTTTTACTAAACTGAACTTGGAAAAGTTACTTAGACTCTTAGAGGCTCAGTGTTCTCATCTGTAAGATGGATAGAGGACAGAATAATGGCAAAATAAAATGAGAGCAAGTATGTGAAGTGCTAGGCACACAGGACAGCACTGAAGAAGAAATTAATTTCTCTTGAATTGAAAAATCTAGTGAAACATACTACACATCACTGATACTCGGTGTGTGTTTACTGAATTCAACTGCTCCCTTAATCTTTCTCAAGAGCTTATCACTTTTCTTGCTAGATACTCTTTCTCTCCACTCATCGGCTTGCATAATTGCAATAGAGGCAAGTACTATAGGAAATGTTACACCACACTTGGTTGGGTAGGAAAAGAGATTAAGTTCTAACTCTCTATTGTTTCTGAATGTACTTGTCACTTACTAGCTCAGTGTCCATCAAATATATCATTTTCCATAAACATTCTACTTACAGCAAGATTTTTATTTTGATACTTTGGAGACAGAGCTACTTAATAAGCAGCCCTGGATTTAATGCAGTGAAGATTTACTCTAGATTTTATTTATTTATTGTCTTTTTGAGATAGGGCTTTGCTACATAGTTCGGGTGGGCCTTAACCTCAGTTTGTGGCCCAGGCTGCCTTGAACTCTCAGCAATCCTCCTTACTCAGCCTTTTGAGTGCTGAGATTACAGGCATGTACCATCATGCCTGGCCTTGCTCTGTATTTAAAAAGTCATGTAAACAGATTCCATATATACTGTGAGAAGCAACATAAAATTTTTTATTCATTTCTGCCACATTTGGCTGAATCACTCTTTGCTTCAAGTTATCTTTAGTCCATTTTTTGTTTTTGATCTGTTTTTTCATTTTTTGACACGGTATCTCGCTATGTAGCCTAGACTGGCCTCAAACTTGGCAGCAACCCTCCTGCCTCAGCCTTCTGAGTGCTGGGATTATAGGTGTGTATCACTATGCCCAGTTTCCATTCATGTTTATATTATATATTCCTTAGAAATCATTCAGATGGCTTGATAAGTGAGACAGTGAAAATATCAAACTGCAAATTTACCTCCCATATTTCTAAGGGTAATGTTGGCACACACTGCTGAATTTTTGAAATATAGTTTCTGAAACTAATTTAAAAGCTAATTTTGATTGCAAGAGCAGGTAACCTTTGTTGCACAAACACATTTAATAGTTGGGTCAAATGAAGGTCATGAATGCATATTTAGATGGCTTTACCTTAATGAAGCATAGAAACAAAGCTTACTAATTTAAAAAGTTAGTCACCAATTTGACAAGACCTATTCAAGAATCAACACATACTGGATATGATCCCTGGGCAAGTTAATGTACCTCTCTGTATTTTACTTTCTTCTGTAAACTTGGGCTAAAAGTAAAACCCGCCTAACAAGAGTTGTTATTAGGACTTACCAGGATAATCCAAAGCTCTCATTTTCTGCATATAGGGACCTACTCACATATTGGCTTAGTTTGCTTTTCATAACATGAAGATAATAATAATAGTACTTCCTGGACAGCCTTGTAGCAAGGTTAGGTGAGTCAGAATATACTCAGCCCTTAGTGTATATGATCTGTGGTACATACTATAATAGCTTTATCTGAGCTTTTAAATTTTCTTAGTTTATATTTTACAATCCAAAGTAGCAGCTCTCAAGTTTGAGTGTGCAGCAGGATTACATGAAGGGTTTGCAAACAGACTGCTAGCACCACCCTCAGAGTCTGATTCAGTAGTCTGGTGTAGGTCCTGTGAATTTGCATTTTTCATGAGGTTCCAGTTGATGCTGATGACCTTGGCCTTGGGCCACACTTTGAGAACTTCTGGTCTAACGCGTGACTCAGTGTATCTCAGATGCAAATCTAATTTGTCATATGAGAGTCAAGTACCTTTGCTACACAATTAGGAGAGAGACAGAAAGACCAAGAGATTTGCCAGAAACAATCTACTAATTGCCTACGCTGAGTAAAGGAAGTCTACTTTTTTTTTAGTACTGGGGACCGAACTCACGACCTCGAGCTTGCTAGGTAGGGGCCTATGCCACCAAGCCAAATCCCTGGCCCAGGAAGTCTACTTTAAAGTACAGGGAACTCACATAGCTTTGGGGAAACTGAGTCAGTTTAGAGTAGGAAATGGACAGAATCCAAACGATATATTCTATAGAAAAGGGAACTGAGGTAAAGTGATTGCCCTAAGTTATCACCTGGTAGAAGGTCACAGTGATGGTTAGACTGCAGTATCCTGACTCCTGACAATGTACATTTTCCTCTAAGTATACTTATTATTGGTTGCTGGAATTGAAAGAAATATTTACAGCTCCAAGTAGAAGTGGCCATGTGTCCGAGTGGTACTTGCATGCCCACAAGTAACAGAGCTCACTGGAAACAGGGAATGTCTTCCACATTTCTTCATTATACATATTCCAGACAGACAGAATACTATGCTGAGATCAGCTTCAGTAATCAGCTCAAGTGTAAGCTTTCTTCCTTGCACCATCATTCACTAGTGTGTCAGGTCCTCTTTTTAAATTTGGTATCAAGGATTGAAGCCATGACCTTGCCCTTGCCAGGCAGGTGCTTTTGCTGCTGAGCTATATCCCTGGCTAGGAGTGATCTCTTAAACAAAAGGGACATTGATTGACGAGTGTATGACTATTCTTAGTTCTTCTGTTCCATTTTCACAATCCATTGTCGATAGTTATCTTTTACTGTAAGGTCATACCCAAATTTGACTAGTGTTCTCTGAATTCTATTCTGAAGTGAAAAGGCATCTGGTTTTTAATACTTTATTTTCTATTATTGCAAATCACAAGAGAATGGCCCTTGGAAACAGAACTGTCTCAAAGGAAAGTATAAAATTGGGTATGCAAATTCTCCCCAGATTCTGGTCTCTTTTTAAGAGATGCTCAAGTTATTCCTGTTGGAAATAAAGAAAAATAGAGAAAAATGTGATGGTCCCTACACTCAGTATGAGGCATATTGAGGGAAGAGCTGGCTATTTCTAGGAAGGCATCTCCTCTTGTGTCCTAGTTATTCAGGGTCTCTAAAGAGGGGTATGTACAGTAAAAAACTAACCGCTCCCAAAAAGCAGTCTGACCTCTGCCCTTGGCCACTGAGAGGTGACTGCTAGGCCCCTGGAAGGTGGTGTCTAAGGATGTCTGGCCACCAGAGAGTCTTACATGATTTACAATGGGCATTTTGAACTGTTCTGTCTCCACTGCTACCTCTGCAGGAAACAGGAGACTAAAGTCAATCATCTGATCTCCAGGAAGGGTGCAGGCCTCTAAGAGGCCTGTGTGAGATTGCAGTCCACTAAACACTCTGGACACCAAGGGTTCCAGTGAGCTTGCTCTGATTGGCAGCAGTTTGCACCTGGTGCTCTGGGAGGAGGAAATAATGCTATGGCTCCATTGGGATGACCAGAAGCGCCATGTCTAGTGATTTCTGGGATTCTGCCCTTTACATCTCTTTTCTCAACTGATTTTATTGCTGTCTTTCCACTAAAGTCAATTCCTAACTGTAAGTGTTGCACTTTCCTGAGTTCTATGAGTCTTTCCCTCGAACTGTTAGATGTGAAGGTGGTCACTGGCTCCTACATCTGCAGCCAGTGTCACAGTGATGAGTCTTGTGGGGATTTGAACAGCTCTGACTTTGCAGTCTCCTAAACTCATTGCAGGGCATTGTTGAAAAAAGAATGATAAAAGGTGCATTAAGATTTTAGGTCCAAGTCATAATGGGGAGGCTTACGAAATTGGTGAGCTCAGGTCCTTGTTGTTGGAAAGGCGAATTTAGGAGAGTCCTTCCCAGGTGGTAGATGAGAAATCAAAATTCTGACAGAAATTAAAATCAAGTTTACTTGAAGAATGAGTCTCATTTGAGACTACAGAGTAACAGCGATTAGTGACCTTCAACTCATTATGTCAGGCCTTAGCCTAATGGAGCTAAAAGTAAATTAAAAATGATGATGTATGGGGAAAAAGTTTAACGCTACCACATTGTGTCAAATGCTTTTACTATTTCAGAAAAAAACTGAGCTTAACTGTTCCTAGAAAATTCCAGACTACGGATATTTTTTCCCTGAGGTTAGAAAGTCATCTTGTAGCACATTTCTATACTCAAAACGATAACTTAATTTGCGATCCAAATTATCTTCAATAAAATTTTTTGTTGCTTTAAATGCAAGGGGCATTTAAATTTTTAAAAACTGGGTGCTCGTAAGAGCATTTCCCAAATTTCAGTATGTCTTCAAATTTCCTGTCACTTCCCGTGTATCTGATTTGCGGTCCTCCACTTCTCAAGTCAGGGGTTCAAAGTTTACAAGTATTTTCAAACGGTGCCCCGGAGTAAGATGGACTTTTCTGTAGTAAAAGTTCGGAGGAACGGTTTTACCAGAGGTGCAAAGTCGTGCTCAGGAGGTGTGTCAGGCCAGCGGGCGAGGTCAAGGTGGGCATTTTGGGAGCCAACACCAGGCTGCAGATTTTGTTCCGTGATACAGTAGCTGGGCAGGGCCAGGGGACCCCCATTTCCCACCTGGAGTAAGATGGATCCGACAGGATCACTGTTTTCAGTCTCCTGGGCCATGGCTAGGCAGAGGCGCAGCTTCCGGATACTGAATCCTTGGCGTGCTGGTGGGGGCACTGTTCCCAGGCCGACGCCACGCGCGTCCGGCCTGCTCCACGCGGGGAGCGGAAGGGGGGCGAGGGAGCCACTCCGAGCTGCGCGCGCGCTCTTCACGGCGCGTCCGACCCCCCACGCGCCGGCGACGATGGTACAGCCCAAGGCGGAAGCGGCCCGGACGGCGCTAGTTTGCGAGCTCAGTTATGGCGGCCGGCGTACCCTGCGCGCTGGTCACCAGCTGCTGCTCCACGTTCTCCGGGGACCGCCTGGTCCAGCGTGAGTAGCGAGGTTCCGGGGCCGGCCTCTAGGCCCCGGGCCTGGACTGACGGCTGTCTCCTCCCTCAGGCTGGCTCCGGGGCTGATCCGCGCCGCGGGCCCGGGCTCCTCCCCCCACGGGGGCGGTGCCGGCCTCCCCGGGTGTCGCGCGAGGTCTTAGGCGCTTGCTTTTCCACCGCGGGTCCCTGCGAGGACCCTCGAGAGCACGAGAAAGCGCCCTGGGCGCGCTCAGTTGCGCGTGTGCAAGGTGCTAGCAATGTTGGTTTTGTGGTGGTTGTCGCTGTCCCTACTGCGGAGGTACATGCGGTGTGTTTCCTTGAAATTCTTGATATGACTTGTGAGCTGGGGCCTTTCCCTGTAGACATTAACCGCCCCGCTCCACCTTCCACCCAGAGTGCGGGCTATCGCTAACCTTAGTCTGGGGTGTTACTGTTACCTATTGCTTTAGTTTATTTTCTGGACCCTCAGTGTGGTTGTCAAACTAAGCCGCTTTTTTTGGTCTTGCACGCAAGGCGTGCACTGTACCACCAAGATACGACTCAGCCCCAGACTAAGTACTTCTTAAACCTCAGCCGTAGAAAACAGTGTCGTAGAGAACAAGTAGGTCATAGGCCAACTCAAACTCCAGAGCTCTGTGAAGTCTTGCAAGTCGATTTGTATCTTAAAGGCATGGCTTTGAATCAGCTCTTAGCTGTGTGACCGTGGTCAAGTCACTTGACCTCTGCTCTTCCGTTAGTTCTCCTGTCTGTAAAATTAGGATGTTTTCTCACTAGTTTCCGCTTTAGTCTTCCATAAGTGATAGTATTATTGAAGCATGTTATCTTCCTGGCCCAGTTTCCTAATCCTTGAAAGCACTTTGTAAACAGAAAGCAAGCAATTGCAATTCTTTGTTACACCTCTTCAGTGAAGCAATTAGGCAACCAATCCTTTTGATACAAACATTCCACTAAATATTCCCTGATTTAGTTATTATTTGTGATCAGATGGAAAGCGGTGTTCCTTGGTAGGCTAAAAGTTTAAATACAGCACTTACTACTTGGTAACTAATTACTCTGAATTTTGCCATTTCCTAATCTGAGCGGTTTTCCTCCTTCCTTTCTTTACCCACTCTTCCTCATGCCTTGCCTCCTACCTCCCCCTTTTTTATTGCTTCATTGTAAAACAGGTGCATACTCTTTAAGAAAATTTAGCATGTGGAGAAAAAAAAATATTAGCTGTCTAATCACCCAAACAAATACTACTAACATTTCTGTACATTTCTTTTCCAGCCTTTCCCCTAATGTATAGATTTGTTGTTTGTGTCTTCATCACCATCACATAGTCCTGAGGACCAAACTCATCTCCTGCTTTTTTCTAGACAGGAATATTTGCTAAGTCACTGAAGTAGGACTTAGATTTGTGGTCCTTTTGCCTTAGCCTCCAAGTGCCAGGATTAAGGTGTTTGCCTCTGCACCTGGCTCCTATGTATAGTTTTTTAAAAAGCAATAATTGTAATTGCATTTCATATTCAATTTTTATTTAGGCTTGGGGGTGGTGCTAGAGATCCAACCCAAGGTCAGTATGTGCTAGGCAAGTGTCTTGTCACTGAATTACACCCCATACAGTCTTAAATTATATTTTTAAGTCATTTTGAGTCAAGAGTGTATGAACAGTTCCACAGGGTTTTTTGTTTGGTTTGGATTTGGATTTTTTAGTTTTTGTTGTTTCTTTGGTCCTAGGGAATGGAACCAAACACTGGGCCTTGTGCATGCTAGGGCAGCGCTCTACTAAGGATAGTCATCCTCTGTCCTGTGTCCTGATAGTCTTCGAGTTTTTTTTTTTTTTTTTTTTTTTTTTTTTTTTTTGTATCGATTTGATTTGAACTCACTACCTTGTGCTTGCTGGGCAGGGGCTGCGCTACTGAACTGTATCCTTGGCCCTTATCATGATATTTTTGACACATAAAAATTAGATTCCTTTGTATTTCATATCATCTACTGAATATACTAGAATTTGCTGAAGATTCTTGGTTTAAGGTTCCAAGTGATTTATATGTATTTGGAGTCCCACTAGGGATGTATGGAAGTTCTCTCAAAGACAATTTCAGGAATGGTAAGTATAGTATTCTGGTGGCCATGGTGCTCTGTTACGCTTTAAAATTCAGAAATGGCAAATATGGTTCTTCCCTGAAAGAGCTAGTTAAGATTAGTTGGCACATAGTAACATTGTACATAAGGAATTGGTTACATCTGGTTTGCATTGTACTCAAAGCAACATTGTAGCTAAAGGAGCTGGTTACCTCTGGTTGGTTACATATTACCACTGTAATATTGTACAGTGTCTATAAACTGTATTAACATTATTGAAGAGAAAGTTCTGTGAAGTCCATTTTACTTCTATATGTGAGATGTCTTTTAAGTAACTGCAGTTCATGTTGAAATTAGATGATCTTTCTTTGGTGATACCATTAATGTTATGTGTTAAATAAAATTGGAACAGTTAATGAACTAATTGAGTAAGTAAAGATAGCTTATTTCTTCCAAGGTTAAGAAGAAGGTAGCAGTAGGTAGCACTAAAATGAAATATTTACTAAGCATTCACTGCTTTACTAAGTCTACCCTAATAACTTTCCTCAAGTATCCAGTTTTGGATTGACTCTGATATCCCCCTGGGGGAGTTTCATTTCCATGTCATGCATCAGGAAGAGGAATCTTTGAGTCTCCCTTTCTTTTTCTTTCTGCATCCAGTCCATTTTAATGCTTTTAATCAACAGTAGGAAGTATTTCATAACCAAATAACCATATTTATCAGAAAGATACTTAAGAATCAGTCGTCTCTACTGTGGGTTAAGTGCATGTATGGACTTTGGGAGAAAAATCTTTTCGTGTCATCTAAAGGCTTTGTTTGAAGTGCTCTGGTTAAAGGTCAAACCACAGATAAAAGTTTAAAATGCTTCTGGGCCTTATGCCAGATTACATACAGTGTGAGAGCAAGGGCTAACCATCAGGACCAGAGTGCTTTCCACTGCACATGTCCCATGAAGAGTTCGCTTTTATCCTGGAAAAGTGTGGTCTGGTAAGTATTAAATACAGAAATAGTCTCTCTTCAGTTACTATAGCTAAAATGATGAATAAGATACTATTCCAGCCCTCAAGAGAAATGTAGTGAAAATGTATACACCATCTGTGAAAATATTAAAATGTAGATACCTAAGTCTTAATATCTTACTCTGCTCGCACGGAAAGAATGCTAGATAGGAAATCCCTGGAGATGTGTTTGGTTTTAAGGTATGTAATGCTTAGGCCATTTAGTTTTTGCATATGAGCAAATATCTGGAACATCTGGAGCATAATTTTTTGTTTAGTGAAATGTAGGAATTTGGAGCTCTTAGGGTAATAACACATCTCCATGTGCCTCAGTACTCCTCAAACATGTCTGCATACCGTTTAGTTTGATGCTATGCTCTTGTGAAGGCAGGTTGTCCCATTTTCTAGGTGAAACCGTGACTTGGAAGTACAGGGGTACTTGCCAGAGTGCAGCCCTGGGTCCTGTGTTCAGATACAGGATTTGGGTATGTGGGAACATAGGAATAAACTGTTTGGGAATACTGCAGTGATCAGAACTATTTCATATAAGGTGGTAGCTTTGGAGAAGATTAACTTTTAAAATAAAGAATGGTTAGGGATGGGAATGAAGTTGAGTAGTACAGTGCTGCCTGGCAAGTATGAGGTTATGAGTTTGATTTCCAGCACCAAAAAAATCTTTAAAAAGTTTGAAAATATTATGCAAGCTTGATAGTCTTAAAGTGTCTGGATTTTTTTTCTTTCTAGATTGAGTGAACTCAAAGTAGCACATTGTATATTAGTTACTCCTGTGTAGGATTAGCATTAAAAATAGAAGATTGCTCTAGATCATCTCTTAACATCCTGTCTATGTGTAACATTCTCTCTGATTGTGTTAATTTCTCATTTTTATGTTAGCTTGTGTAATGCTTCTTAGCTTGACTCTGCCACTCTTAATTTTTTGTGTGTGTTACGTAAAAATGTGTATGTGTATGTGTGTGTAGTAACTTAAGAATTAATCCTTTGAGGTTTTGAGAGGCACATGACCTATAAGTAGGAAATTTAATGCTTTGTTTTGGAATTTATAAGTGTTTGCCTATAGAAATATCCCACTAGTCTGGAGGTTTCTGAAGCAGCAGAACCAGAAAACTCAGTTATGTGACGGATAAACTAGGTTTTGGGAATGACACAGGCAGAGCCAGCCATTGCTTACGGAATTGCTTCTTTGGAAGACGCCTTCTTCTGCAAGACTGGGACTTTGTTTCTGGGTCTGCCTGGCTCTTTCTCATACTTGAAAGACTTAAATTACCAACTAAGGAGAACATTCTCATTTCAAAGTATTCTATTGTCTAACAATAAAATAGGGAGAGAAGCTTGATTTTTCTAACTTGCATTTTTTTTCTGCAGTCTCCAGAGGTGTTCTGAGTGGAGGCTTTTGGTTTGCCCTGGAAATAAGTACTGTTTTGTTTTGCTTAAGCACTATTGCTCATTTTGTTGGGATGGGAGGAGTCTGCCTCTAATTTCATTCAAATACTTTCAAAGTACATGTCTAAGTCTCTGTTCCTCAATAGGGGGAAAGAAAGCAGGCCAGCAGGCTCTCTCAAAGAGTTGTCATCATAGTGATTCAGTAGGTGGTCAGACTAGAGCAGTGTTTTCTACTGGTTGTAAGGGTGGAGGAACTTAGATTTGTTTTTAGCTATGATCATTAATATATTTTAAGATCAGATTCAATTAACATTAGGGCTTAAGACTTTATTAAAAGAGAGATGTTCCATCATCAACTTAAGGAAAATAACAAGATTTCAAATACAAGTTCTTTAACTCTCTAGACCCATTATTGTGTTCCATTGTAGGAACACACATGTGCTTGCGTGCATGTGTGTGTGTGAACTTAAAGGTCAGAGAAGTGGTATGTTCCCCCAGTGATTGAGCTCATAAAAATTGGGGAGCCAGGCCTCAGTTTTAGTTCTTTCTGTATGTCAGACATGATCAACTTCTGGACTGCCAGAACTGTATATACTTACAGTAGAGATAGAGACCAGAGGAATTGTAACATAAGCTTTTACTACTACAGCACAAACTTCTACAGCTTTCAAAAGAAGTTTATACTTACTCTTTCATGGCTGTTGGAGCCTTCGTAGATGAAATGCAGTAAGTAATAATTGAAAATGTCTCTATTGGTTTTCAGTTTATTTTCCTGCTTGTGGAACAGAGAATTTGACTTTTTGCGTGAAATTTTACATTAAATTTTAAAGG